GCAGCCTCCTCCCGTGGAGTCTCCCGGGTTCTCAGGTACCCCTCCTTCCGGCCCTTGTCTGCTGTATGCTCGTCTTCTTGCTTCTTTCCTCTAGTTTCTGCTAGAATCGGTCTTTTCTGCAGAGACCCTCTGTCTGGCGGTGTTATTCGTCCGCCATCTTGCTCCGCCCCTCCCAGGATGAAAAGTTGAACTCTTCATGCTGTAGACAGTTTTTCACATGATGCCAGGACAACATTTCATATCATAATAAGACTCTTAACTCTCTTAATGCCTACCTTTTTTGCTTGGCAGGATAGCTGTCATTTCAGTGATTCAATTGGTCATCTTTAAGCCTAGATATAATGGGTCAAAACTATTATACAAACTGAGATTATCACACTACTATTAAAATTACTTTTTATTTTTTCTTTCTAAACTTTGTATATGTTACTTGTTAAATTTTTGCATTCCAGCTCCTAACAGAATAATTCTGACCCAGCCCTTTGAGATAATGGCCAAAAGACTAGGGAGCAGACAAAACTGAACTTAATAATCATCCCTAGGTAGACTTAGCCTGAGAGCCACTCCTTTCATACCTTCCTTATTCCCCAAATGTGGCTGAAAGGGTTTTTACACTAACTCATATTTGGCAATCACTCCTTCCGATGTGGGATGAGACCAGAAACCAGAACAAGTCCATTCCAGCAATGAGGGACATCATAACTTAGTTACAGGATGGTTGATTAGTGATGCTTTTGCAAAAAGGTCTTGATGAAAAAGGAGAAATATGAAAGTTGTTAGAATTAATATAGAGTCACTTCTATTAACAAAAAAACAAAAATAAAGAACCCTTAGAGCCAGAGAAGGCTATGAAGAGAGGGTTCTTACACATGTATGTCTGAAAACAAAACTATAAAAAAAAGTCTCTTCAAAAATTATAACTTTGAATAAAAGCCATCACAACCTCACACATGCGAAAAAAAAAAAAAAAATACTTCGGTGAGACATCTGACCAGCAACTGCCTGCCCAACCTTTTACTGGTGTCACTTTTGTTATTGATCTTTGCAGTCAAGGTTAACTATCTTGAAACAATCATATAATCCTCCTCGTTTTTTTCCTTTAAAACACTTGTCTTCCTTTACTTCCCTGAATATGCACATAATTTGCTATGATATGTGTATTCTCATTGCAATGTCCTATTCCTGAATAAATATTATTTTCTTTTAGGGAGCCTCTCTCTGCTTATTGTTTAGGTTGACATGCTCCATGGGTGATTTTGACAAATAGGAGATTGGAGCTTATCATTATTTTTTTTCTAGATTGCTTTATTTAAAACTTGTGCTTGGCAGATGCATCTTCTTGGTTGATTGAGTTGATTCATCATATATGAGCAAAACAGTCAGAAGTGTCATCTGAGTGTGTGGGTATGTGCATATATAATTTTGGAAACTTAGATCCAAGTGATTTTTGTTTATCCATTCAAAAAAGGCTCTGTGAATAATTAGTTTGGCACAAATTTTGTAGATAAAAAATGTAGAAAGGGTTTATAGTATGAAAACTTTTGTGAGACTTCAGTATTGCAAACTAGTGAGTAAAGCGTAAGATTTTTAGATTGCCCACTTTCTCAAAATAGGTCTAAGGTGATGTAGTAGGCAGAATAATGCCTTCTCATCCCCAGAACCTGTGACTATGTTACCTTCTGTGGAAATAGAAATTTGCTGATATGGTTAAGAATCATGAGATTGGGATGTTCTCATGGATTATCTGTGTGGATCCAACATAATCCCGAGAGAGAGAAGGAGGAAGGAGGGTGGAGGCAGAGGAGATGTGGAGGTGGAAGGAGAGATCAGAGTGATGAGATCCATGGCGGGATGGGGAACACAAGCCAAGGCCTGAGGACAACCTCGAGAAGCTAGAAAAAATATCAAGAAAATTGATTGTCCCCTAGAGGTTCCCAAAGGAACATAGACTCCTGACAACTTGACTTTAGCCCAAAGAGACCCATTTTGAACTTCTGACCCACAGCACTGGGGGGTAATAAATTTAGGTCATTATAAGCTCTGTGTTTGTAGTGATTTCTTGCAGTATAAAAAGTGTGAGGTTAGCTCTGTTATTCCAATTCTGTTCACTTAGACCCAAAGAAAACTGTTTTATACTGGGAAATATACTTCAAGTGCAAGTATATCAGCTAGTGAAGCCAAATACACCCATAATAAAGTTGAAGCAAGCACACAAATAAATAATAAATAAATAGAATAAAGGCTAATGCTATCAAACTATCGTTATTGTCATCCCTGGAGACCAAAAATATCCATCAGAGAGTGTTATTTTTTGTTGTTGCTGCTACTTTCAGCTATTCTGCTTCTTTAAGACTAAAGTCAGAAGGTGACTTATTGATCTCAGTCCCACAGTCCCTGAATTAGTTTTATTTCTTATTGCCCTGAAATTATTATATATGTAGTTTCTTTCCAGACTCTGCCTTTACTCACATGTAAGTCCCACTCTCCCTCTTTTTATTGTATGTTAGTAGACATTCCCTTGTACACGGATATGGTGCATAAAAACTATTAACTTTTATTTTTTGGCCAGGTGGGTTCTTGAGAATTGGTAAACAATGCCTTTGTTTGTTTGTTCGTTTGTTTGTTTAATAACATTTCACTTCCAATCACACTGAAAGAAAATGCTGAAAGAAGCATTTTTGATAATATGGTCTTATAACAAAGACAACTCTACAAAACAATTTTAATATGAGATGGAAAAAATAATTACATATCTTCTTTGGGTAAGCATCAACATTTTGCTTTGTGTACACACGACAAGTGAGAAGGATGAAAAAGGAGAATACCTTTTTAAAATTTTTAGCGTATTTTTCCATGTTTTATTTTCATGTGAACTTTTTCTGTGATACAAATATATTTTTAAGTACAAGACAAAACTGCTTCTACAAACTTTGAGAATTTGGTGGATAAAGTGCTGCAAAAATTAAAAAGGTAATTTTTAATAGTTGAACAAGATATCTGTTGCTAGGAGAATGATCTGAGTCTTGACCAGCTACCAAGAAATGATTCCACATACCTCCACCACCCACTGTTAGGCTTTCTCTTGTGGAACTGGAGACCATTATCCTAAGTATCTAAAGTATGGAAAAGCAAACACCACATGTACTCACTATTAAATTAGAACTAACCAATGAGTATACATGTGCATAGAAGGAAATAAATCTCAATGGAAATCAAGCTGGGGGAGGGAGAAGCAGGGAATGAGCAAAAACTTACCTAAGGTGTACAATGACCACTATTGGAGTGACGGACACACTTTTAACTCTGACTCAAGCATTATAAAAGTAGTCCATGTAATCTAAAACATTTGTACCCCCATAATACTTTAAAAATAAAAATAAATAAGTAAATTAAAAACTTCTGTAGAATAAAAAATATGGAAATCTTCTAGCAGCTTACAGTATATCTCTAAAATGTTCTTCTTTTCAAATTATCATTTATGATTTATATCCATTTTTTTTTGTTTGGGTATGTGAGGTTGAGATAATAACAATTAATATATATATTTTTTCCCCACAGAAATCAATGGAGTTTCTACCCCTGTATTGTTACTCCTTTTAACAGCAGTGTTTCCAGGAGGAAATGAAAACTACTATTATAAATGAAGACAGTTTTAGCTTTAAATTCACATTAGTTTGAGCGATTGGCATGGGTTATTCAGAAATCTCTTGGATGCATTCTTCACGTCCTTGTTCCTCAGGCTGTAGATTAGAGGGTTCAGCATGGGTATGACCAGGGTGTAGAAGACGGAGGCCAGTTTGTCGGTGTCCAAGGAGTGGTTGGTCCTCGGCTGCAGGTACATGAACAGGAGGGTGCCGTAGAAGACCACGACGGCCGTCAGGTGAGCCGCGCACGTGGAAAAGGCTTTCCGCCGCCCCTGGGAGGAACGCATCCTCAGGATGGCAGCGACGATTCTGCAGTAGGACGTGAGGACGGCGGCCATGGAGAAGGACAGATTGGTCCCCGAGAAGGTGAACACTGCCGTCTCCGGGAGGTAGGTGTCAGAGCAGGACAAGGCCAACAAAGGGACGTCGTCGCAGTAGAAGTGGTTGATGACGTTGGCGGAGCAGAAGGACACGGAGAAGACGCAGGAGGACACGGCCAGCGCCGTGAGCAGGCCCTGGAGGTAGGTGAGGGTCGCCAGCAGGCGGCAGACGCGCGGGGACACCGCCGCGGCGTACAGCAGGGGGCTGCAGATGGCCACGCAGCGGTCGTAGGCCATGGCCGCCAGCATGAAGATCTCGGCCACGATGAACACCAAGAATCCGCCCAGCTGCGCCGCGCAGCCGTAGTAGGAGATGCTCTTCTTGGCGGCCCAGAAGTTCGCCAGCATCTTGGGGGCGATGACGGTGGAGTTGCTGAGATTGATGATCGCCAGGTGCCGGAGGAAGTAGTACATGGGGGTTTGAAGCTGGGGGTCAACCCTGGTGAGGGTGATGATGCTCAGGTTCCCCGCCACCGTCAGCCCGTAGATCGCCAGGAAGACGAAGAACAGGGGCACCTGGAGCTCCGGCCGGTCCGAGACTCCCAAGAGAATGAACTCGGTCACCCAGGTGAGATTCCCGGAAGCCATTTATTCCGTCGTGTTCATCTTTGAATGTGCAAAATGGAAAGGCATTAATGGATGACGAGATTGCTTTTCCTGTTAAGATGATGGGACGTTGTTAAATGTTTCATTTGGTGGGCAAACCCTTAAGTTTCAGATCCTGTTCTTCTCTCCATGTCTTCACAAATTTCAGGAATTATAAATGCACTAGAGATCATTGAGTGTCTTACACCCGTTTGGGCAAGCTATTAATTTACTTATTTGCTCTTGAATATTGTTTATATTAAATGAACATAGATTTATCAAATATTATTGTGTGCATTAATATTACTACTCATCACTTTGGTTTACATTAATGTATAATAAAATATATTAGCATATATATTGGATGAATATATATATATTTATATGTGCACTCACACCTGTGTGTGTGTTTCCAATGAAAAAAGAGAGTGGCCTCAAGAAGTTGATGGGCCAGAGTGACCTCCGGTTACCTTTTTCTTAGCTTCCCCAGGTGTCCTCCCCAGCCCATACCATGTCATCAATCATCTTTGGGGGTTTTAATAGTTCTGGGAGAAGCCCTTTCAGTACCCTGAATTTATTTTGATCAATTTATACTACACCATTTTGTTTCAGCTTCCCAGAAAGCAGTCTTACACCTCAATACTTTCTTCTTAGTGTCATTCTGAAACTCTGAACTCTATTTACTTAATCATATTTCCTTTCTTCTGCCAAATAAGCCAGTCTTATCCTAACATTTTACTTCTAGTTACTCAAACTTTTCTCTATTATTTTGTTCTGGCCTCCATTCTTTCCCTTCCCATTACAGCATATACGTCTTCCCATTAAATTGTTTAAAGCTTGTTTTGATTTTAAAAAAAAATATTACCAATTTTTTTGTTAATGTTTGATATACTTTAATTTACTTGTATGGAAAAATGAGTGAGGGAGAGTGCTAATATTTATTTAGCAAGTAGTATATGCCCAGAATTAATTATCTCCTTACTCTGCAGAAGTGCCTTACAGTATAGATAAACAAGAATTATTTTTTATGTCTGATAAGATAATTGAGGCTCCATGGGATGAAGTTACTCAAAGAAGCTATCTAGGACACTGGTTAATGGTATGAGCTAAACTTCACAGTTTTATGATTTTGTTTTGTATGATTTTTTTGTGTGTTTTTTGTTTAGTTGGTTGGTGTTAGTCTACCAATTACTAGCTGTGTGATTTTTGCCAAGTATTTATAGTTTCATTTTGTGCAAATTAAATGAGATAATGCATAATATAGGTTTATTTGCACAGAGCCTGGTAACAAGTGAATGTAAAATTGATGTTACCTGCAGTTATTATGAATGATTTTTAATACAAGTTCTTAAGTCTCAATAAATCATTCCACCTTATTGAGAGCCTTTATAGTTGAAAGAGAAATATCAAATGAACGATAATTTTGCATATTAAAAAACTGAGGGACCCAATATCTAGCTAAACATTTAACAAAAGAAAACATGTGCTTCTGCAACTAGATTCTCTAGTAAATCTTCAGTGTCTGTTATAATGTAAAGATGGTTTATTCAATACATTAAATGAGTCTGATGAGCCGATCTGATTTTGTTGCACCAGCCATCCTTCAGCTCTTGATTCCTACCACTACACCTAAAAAGAACTGCATATTTTATGAGCAGGTAAGATTATGACAGGTAAGATTGTGAAAATAATTACTTTCATAAAAATATTTTCTCTTGGGTTGCCACACAAAAACCAATTCAGTGCATTGTTCATTCTGACATTTATAGTCCATAAACTTATTCTTTATTTAACAACAAAAAGAATATAAACAGCACCAATTATTAATTACCTATTGTGAATGTGTACAATTAACTTTGGGAAGGGACAGTATTTGTGAATATTTAATATTCTTACCTATTATCAATTCCTTCCTCTACTGAAATATGACTGAGGGTATAGCTAGGGTTGGTTTTTATTTCAGTAAGTATATGTCACTGGCATATAGTTTCTGTAGAAGAGCCCATTTTCTCCTATCTTTCTAAAAATAAGAATCCTATTTGAGTTAGCATTTGTTTCTGTTAAAAGCTATTATAATTTTCTACAATTTTTTAAATTAGTTTTTGAATAGAAATATTTATGTCTATCAATAAAATGAATCTCAGTAAATAAAAATTTTACAAATATATACACACATATATATAACATATATACATATATAAAACATTAATCATTTAAATTCTCCATCTCACTTTCAAAAGTGTCACCATTTGGATGAGAAATATCATATTGCCAATTAACTCTTAAATTGCTTCTGAGATGTTTTCAAGACTATATTTCTTTGGTTTCTAACTGTGGAATTTGTCTTAAACTTGTTGAGACATGGATTGTGCTTGGGACAAACATTGAATCTCAACATGATCTCCCAGTGTACAACAGAGACATAGAGACCAACTGTTGGCGCCAGGGAATCTTTTCATCCTAGGAATGTTCACTCTAGACAATGTAAAAATCAAGAGGAAAAGAAAAACAAAATGTGTTTTTATGGATTTCAAGCAATTTTGTAAGCCTTTCTTGGAAACATAGTATCATATACATCAGCAACACTTAAGAAGCTTTCTATCTGGTGCAGGGTGAGTGTACTCTAAAACATGTCAGTTTTAAGGCACAGAAAAAAAAAAAAATCACTCTTCATCTTAAGGTGTAATATACTACCTGTAATGACTATTCATTATTTTGTATAAATGCTCAAACAGTTTTCACTTATCAATAGGGATTCTAAGTACTATTAGTTATGTTGTATCACTGTTATTTCCACTATGCAATCAGTGGGCAGAGGTTTGAGTCACTTGGAAAAGAAAACAGATCAGGTGTCATGTCAGTCCTGAGTCTGATTTAAATTGATAAAGCTTCAAAGACACTTTGTGCTCACATTTAGACTTAGTGATATGTGAAATATTTGGTGTAACCTACCTGTGCCGAGAGATCTGCTGAGACCCATTCCCAAGGTTGCTTCATGAATTTAAGCCTGCTGAAGAGTTTTACAAATGTCAGAAGTCTCTGAAGACCTTCACACTGAATACGTTTGTTTCTAGGTTCCAGCCCCCAAACATGACAACCATATTTCCCAGATAAAAATCTGATTCCCTAGGGAAAATAGGACAAATTGAATGCTCATTAGCTAAGATTCCACTCAAAATTTCACCCAAAGAGTAAAAGTGTGGAGATTGCCCAGGGACTTACTTAAATGATTATATTTAATAACAAATAAATGCAATTATTCCTGCTGACTTTTTTTTCATTTAATTTGTACAGTAGCTGAGAAGTGCTGCTGTTGGCCCTGGGATGAAGATAATCCAACAGTTAGAATGTGTAGCATTCTGGACTCAATGGTCAATTTTCGTTTTTTATTTATATATTTTTTTATCTTCTTTTTATTTATTATTGTTTTGTTTTTTGTTTTTGATTTTTTTGTTTGTTTGTTTGTTTGAGACAGAGTCTCACTCTGTTGCTCTGGTTTGAGTGCCATGGCATCAGCCTAGTTCACAGCAACCTCAAACTCCTGGGCTCAAGTGATCCTTCGGCCTCAGCCTTCCCAGTAGCTTGGACTACAGGCATGTGCTACCATGCCCGGCTAATTTTTTCTATGTAATTTTAGTTGGCCAATTAATTTCTTTCTATTTTTAGTAGAGATGGGATCTCACTCTTGCTCAGGCTGGTTTCAAACTCCTGACCTTGAGTGATCTTCCCGCCTCGGCCTCCCAGAGTGTTAGGATTACAGGCGTGAGCCACCACGCCTGGCCCCAGTGGTCAATTTTAATGTGAATATTGGGAATAGAGCTGAGTGTAAACCCTCCATTATACATCAAAAACAAATCCTGGCATATATGCCATAAAAACCAGAAGACATAAAACATAGATTCAACATATGAATTGCTATAAAGAAAATAAATATCAGCTTTATAATTGAAATTCTAGTATTTAATTAAAATTATTTGCATTTAAAATATATTTTTACATAAGCCTGAGATATTCTTTCCAAGAATATATAAACAGTGTAATTAATAGTTGATAACTTTTCTTACTACACTGTGTGTAATTTTCTAGTCTGTAAGCATTACAAAAACAAAAGATATCTGAAATGACATTCTAGATACCATATCCATCACCCACTTTAAACAATGATTTTGTATTATAGACTTTATTATTTTAAAGTAATGCATCTTTAAGCATACTTTAAACTTTTATTTATTCAACTTCTGACATTTTCATTCCCTCCACTCTATCTAGAATCAACCACTACTGACTGTCACAACCTTTTTCTTTCTTTCTGAGTATATTCTTTTAGATAAGAACAATTGACATGAGATCTACCATCTTAAAACTACTTGCAAGTGTACATTACACTATTTTTAACTATAGAGGCAATAATGTGCAACATATCTCTAGAAGTTAATCATTTGGTGCAACTTAAATATTAGACCCATTCAATATCAACTCTCCATTTATCCCTCCCCACCAGCCCCTGTGAGTCACCATTCTTTTTGCTTCTATGTGTTTGAATATTGTGTGTACCTTATATAAGTGGTATCATACAGTATCGGTCCTATACCAATAAAATGTATTTCAGTTATTTTGTTTATATTACTTAGCATACTATCTTCAAGGTTAATAGTAACACATATTGTCTATTTTTTAACAAAATGCATTTACTATTATGTTTTCTGATATATAAATGATATGATTATTGCTATTTATGTAGTTTCAAATTTACATAAGTGGATTTATGGTGTTTACATCATTTTGTGATTGACTTTTTTTCCTCTGAACAATATCTTGATTGTTGTGGATTTGATGCATGCATTTAAACTAGATGAGAAATTTAGTTGCATTGAATCTTCTGATTGTTCTCATTTTTCTCATATACAAAAATCTCTCAAGTCTATTTACTTAGAGGACAATTGGAAATTATTAGGTCAAAAGGCATCAGTATTTTCAAATTCAGCAAATGCAGCAAAAATATTAATGTTTCTATTTATGATATATTTTAATGTTTACATTTATTAATGTTTAATATTTATAACTGCAGGAAAAATTTGTAATTTTTTTACTCAGACCTCTAACACCTTTAATAATTCTATACACATATTTTAACAAATGAAAGGAAGCAATGGAATAACATCGAGGTTTTATTTTGAACACTGATTAAAAATATATTCAGAGTACTGGAAAACTGGATAGCCACATGCAACATAATGAAGTAAGACACCCTAACCTCAAAATATATACAAAAATTAACTAAAAATTGGCCAACATCCTAAATACAAGAGTAAAATTAGAAAGCTTTTAGAGGACAACATCAATATAAATCTTCATGGTCTTATGTTTGCCAGTGAATTCCTAAACACAGCATCAAAAGTACAAACAACAACAACAAAACGTAGATAAGTTGGACTTCATCAAAATTAAAAATATTTGTGCAGCAAAGGCCATTATTTAGGCATTAAAAAGACAACCTAGAATATGGAAGAAAATACTTTCAAATAATACATCTGGAATATATAAAGAACTCCTACAACTCAACACCTAAAAGTCAAATAATCTAATTAAAATGGGCAGAAGATGTAAAAATTGCTCCAAAGAGACAGACCCTTATATTACACTATACTCAGCCATCAACTCGAAATGGATAAATGACTTAAACCTAAGACCTGAAACTTCAAAACTCCCAGAAGAAAAGATAGGGGAAAATTTTCATTACATTTGTTTTGGGAATGATTTATTGGAATATGACACTAACGGTACAGACAGCAAAAGCAAAAATAGACATGGGATTACATCAAACTAAAAAACTTCTACATAGTGAAGTAAGCAATCGACAGTGAATATACAATATACAAAATGGGATGAAATTTTTGCAAAACATATGTCTGATAAGGGATTAATCTCTAAAATATATAAGACACTCCAATAACGCAATATTAAAAAAACAAACAAGAAAAGAAAACCCTAATAACCTGATTAAAATAGGCTAAAGACTTAAAAAAAACTAACATTTCTCCAAAGAAGACTTGAAATGGCCAACAGGTATATGAAAAGATGTTCAAAATCACTAATTAACAGGAAAATGCAAGTAAAAGTCAAAATGAGATATTACCTCTCACCTGTTGGGATGGATGAATTGTATAATGCTGAAGTTGGGGCTTTTTGTGTACCCATCATCAGAATAGTGTGCATGTACCCATAAGGGAGATTTTTCTTTCTTATTCCCCTCCCAACCTCCCCCCTTCTCAGTTTTCAACCTATCTATACTTTATCCAATATCTTGTGGATTTTTAGTCTATTGTTTATTAAGTCAACAGATGCATATATGTATCTATTTTCTCAAGTGTGTAGCTTGGTCTTTTACTATATTTATGGTCATTTTTGTCATACAGACTTAAAAAACTCTAAAGCATAAAATTTGTCAGCCTTTGTGATTTTCAGGTGTGTTTAAAGATTTCATCCATTCTGAATTTTATACACACACACATAAACACACACACACACAAACTCACATGGTTTATATATGCACAGATAGTGGATATCAATGATCATAAGTTAGTTTTGATATTTGAAGGAAGGAGCCATGTGATATCAGAGGGAAAGTCTGGGAGAAAACAAATCTAGAGACATACTGTGAATATATATTGTGGTGGCAGAAGCTCTATATTTACACTGTGAGGTGTTATTTAAATTTATTAATCCCATTTTAGGAAAATATCCTTTGGTTGTACTCTATGTTCTGAGGATATCATCCTACTATAACTAACAAATAAAGAGAAACTTTAAGGAAGAGAATGAATTCACAAAATCATAATTTAAAAGTAATAAAAAAAGATGAAGAAGGGTAGGGAAAACATGACCACTTCAATGTATCTTTGAAGGAGACATATCTTTGCAATGAAAATGAGGTCTGTTGGAAGCAGGGCAAGCATGAGCAGAATAGAGATTCTTATCTGTACCTTCGTTCTTGAGTTTGGGCAAATAAGGAATGATGGTGTCCATAAGCACATCAAAGAATGGTCTGGGTCAAACAAAACAGACCCAAAGGCTGATTAGGGACTAGGCCTGCAGAGAATCCCATAAACAGGGATGGGAGCTTAGTTCAGAAAAGAGCCAAATCTGCCAGCAAATTGTACCTTAATCTCTGAATTGTGATTTTATTTTGTTATTCTTGAGTTTAAGTATAATCTTGATAAATACTAATGTCTAGTCTCTATATTCTGTGAAGAATTAAAGGATGGGTTTTATGTCCATGCCCTGGGTCATATAGGAAAAGAGGGAGAAATACACTGTCACAAATGAACACAGGAATAACACTTGGGAATTGGGACACATTATCTGTGGTATGTGAGCCACAGGGCATGATTAGATTGCTGCAAATACACAGACCTAAGGAAGGAGCAAATTGCAAGTAAGCAGTAGTTTTTAATCTGGATTAAGTGGTCATTCATCAAGCTAGTCATACATAGCTATGAAATAATATATAATTGCAACTATGCAAGCCTACACAATTCAAGTGATATGAGGTTGAAAGAAAACAATATACAGAATTTTAATTATTACATATATATGTCTGGGTATGTGCATTTTTGTGTACACCAATCAGTATTAGCACTTATGGATATCTATGTGTAAACATATGTGTGAATATATATACACATATACATATACAATGTGCATATTCATATATCAGTATAAACATAGTGAAAAGCAAATGGATGATACAGATTTTTCTACATGAAATAATAACAATAACATTGGTAGAAGGTTGTCTATGATCTTTATTTTAAAATGTCTAAGAAACAATAGAAATACATTAATAAATTCAACATTTCATTATATCCTCTTGATATTAAGGTATAGAATATATTCTCAACATTTTGAAGTTAATATTTAGTGTGAAAAATATACTTTATTGATAATCTGCTTTTTCCCAAACACTTTTTTCATGGCCTCTTTTACATCTTTGTTCCTCAAACTGTAGATGATGGGATTCAGCATGGGAATCACAATGGTGTAAAATATCGACACTATCATGTCATGCTCCAAAGCGTAGCTGGAACTGGGTCTCACATACATGAAGAGAACTGTACCATGAAAAATAGACACTCCAGTTAGGTGAGAGCCACAGGTAGAGAACACTTTCCGTTTTGCTTCAGCAGAGTGCACCCTCAGAATGGCCACCAGGATGAAACCATAGGAGATCAGGACGATCAGGATAGTGACTACCTCAATAGAGCCAGCAAAGTAGAAGAGAAGAAGCTGGTTCAAGCGAGTATCAGAACATGAAAGAGCAAGGAGAGGAGGAATATCACAAAATACATGTCTAATTGCATTGGATCCACAGAAGGAGAGGCTAAAAGTGGCCACTGTGTGCAACGTAGCATGCAGAATTCCACCAACGAAGGAAGCAACGATGAGTGGCACATAGACTCCGGGTGACATGCTCACTGCATACAGGAGAGGGTTGGAGATGGCTACATAGCGATCATAAGCCATTGCCGCCAAGAGAAAGCACTCTGTGGTCCCTAAAGTGACAGCAAGAAACATCTGTGCTGCACATCCAAGGAATGAAATGAATTTATTCTTTGACATGAAATCTACTAACATATTTGGGGTAATTACTGAGGAATAGCAGGCATCCACGGAAGACAAAACACTCAGAAAATAGTACATGGGGTTGTGTAGCCGGGAATCCCCAATGACCAATACAATCAATCCTAAATTTCCCATGAGAGTAAAGAGGTAGATTGCTAGAAACAGGAAGAAGAAGATGATCTGCAGTTCAAGATTGTCTGTGAATCCCTTCAGTACAAATATGGTAACTTCAGTGGCATTCATTATGTTGAAATCTTATGGAATAAGCTTGAAGATATTCATAAAATTATATTTCATATTACTATAAAAAAGAGTGAACAAAACTGTTACTCAAGGTAATGTAAACTATGCCCTTATATATACTGTACACTATATTTTTGTCCATGTATCATTTTCCAGTAGAGGATAAGAAAGTAGTAACAAGATAATGGGTTGAGTGTTCATGCCACTCGCTGCAGAATCAGATGAAAGAAATGGGTGTTCACTCAGTGGCTGAATTTATGCTGTTTTAAAACCATCAAGTCTACTGATTAATGTACCACTGAATTCTGTTAGCTATTTTCATATTAAATAACAATAAAACACAAAGCGATTATAAGAAAAATTTGTTCTGGCATCCAAACACGTGAGATACTGTATCAGTGGAAAGATCATGGAATACAATGTCAGAATTCTAGATCTTTCGTCAATTGTGCAAAATAATTTGCTGTGTCTACTTACCCCAGAATGAGGACATTAATAATTATTTTACAAGATTGGAGTAAATATTGCAGTAAAAATTACATTAATAAAATTAAATATTTAACCTTATAGAATTGCTGAATGAGGTTGTTTCTACAGAGTATTCTATCAAGATTCAATCCAATGAAATATATTTTGATTATGATTTTTTTCCCCTGCCCACTCTTATGTCTCTGAATTACCCTTTGGAGAATAAAGAAGATTTGTGAATTATGTTATTAATTGATGCCAAAAATACACATACAAATTACCACAATTCCGTTTTCTACAGTACAGTTAGCTTGATTTCGTTTAGGGCAAACAAGATATTTCAGCTAAATTTTTCTTGAAGCAGGTGTTCTACTAGATGCCAAAACAAAGTTATACCAGGTAAAAAGTAAGTCAATATTAGCACATATTCAAAAGTTTCAAAATTATAAAGAACAAATAACTATGATTCTTGACAATTTAATACTATGGGATCAAGTTTTAAAATTAATCTATATTTCTGTAAATACAATTTTAATAAAAAGCAGAAAACTCTAAATATCATGGGTTTACTGATGAAACACTAAGTTTGCCCCAAAAGAGGAGAAATGATAGCCATGTATTGATCACTTGCTGCAGGAACTGACTTTTTTGTGCACATTATTTCACCTTGTAGAAACTTTCATAGCTCATAATTGCTGGAGTCAAGGTTCAGTCCCAAGTCACTCTCATTGTGCATGCACTTTTAACCATTTTTTCATTGCCTCATATTATGCCATCATTTCATTCTGAAATTGGAAAACTACACCCCATCCTCAAACCCAGGAAACTAAAAATAAAGTAAAACATAACTCTGGATGTATTTGGATGTTTTTAAACCATGAAAAGGAGAGAAGCATTATAAAATAAGTAATAATTTGAAATGACTACCAGATTGTATAGCTAATGATATATTTAAAAGAATTATTATTTTTTTTATTTTTTCAAAATATGAAACATAGAATGTTGAATATGTCACTCTTTTCATGTCCTCAATTGAGATATTCATGATTATTCTTACTTTGAACTGTCTTCATCCATCAGAAAAATAAAAACATACACTCTATTAGGAGCATTCTTGTTTACTTCTATGAATAGAAGTTCAATATTTTCTATTTTGTTTTGTTTTCTAGTAAGTTTTAGTTTTTAATTCTTAGGAAGAGCTCTGAGTAAATCAGATTTTGATGAGTACATTTGATTCTCACATGCAAGAGGCCAAAACTCAAGTATTCAGTTCTTGGGGGTTAGTAGCTAAAATGTTTAGTACAAAATAACATAGCAGTTCTTAACATTTTAGTTTTTACCTCCTAAAATATTCTACAAATCATCTGCAATTCTCTCTTACCTATGGAACAGCAAATGCAGGTTTAAGTACACAATGCCTATGGCTAATTTAGATTACTTATATCTCCTTAATCAAGTGTTGATCTGATGAAATCCACAGGAGATGTCCCAAAGGGAATGCGCCCCAATTATTGTCTGGTTCAAAATAGCAACATAATGATTTACTTAACAATAAAAAAGTAAATGGCTCCAGGAAATAAGGCACTACATTGAGCTACTTACTGAATGAATAGAGTTCTTTGGACTCTGATTTTAAATGCTTTAGATTTGCATTTCTCTGATAATTACTGATGTTGAACATGTTTTCATACACCTGTTGGCCATTTGTATGTTTTGTCTGGAGAAAAACTCTATTCAAGTTATTTGCCCATTTTTAAATCAGATGATGATGATGATGATGATAATTATTGGTATCTAGTTTAAGAGTTTCTCATATATATTTCATATTAATCTGTTATTAGATATATGGTTTGCAAATATTTTCTCCTATTCTTTAGGTTGCCTTTTCACTTTTCTGATTGTTTTCTTTATTTTGCAGAAGTTTCTTTAGTTTGATGTAGTCCCAGTTGTCTAATTTTGTTTTTCTTGCTTGGCTTTTGGTGTTATATCCAAGAAGTCATGCCAAGCCCCAGGTCCTGAAGCTTTTTCCTCAGGTTTTCTTCTAGAATTGTTTGGGTTTCATTGGTAACCCTTTAATCCATTTCAATTTGGTTTTTCCATATGGTGTAAAGCAAGGGTCCTATTTAATTTATTTTCATATGCATATTCTGTTTTTCCAGAACTATTTGTTGAAGGAGCTATGTTTTCCCCATTGTGTATTTTTGGCACCCTTGTGTGGAAGCTCAGTTGACCATATTTGTGTGGGATTATTTCTGGGCTGTCTATTCTGTTCCATTGGTCTGTATGTCTGTTTTTATGCCATTATCTTACCTTTTAATTACTGTAGCTTTGTAATGTATTTGAAACCAAAAAGTGTGATGACTCCAGCTTTGTTGTTTCTCTCTTTGTTCCTTTGGCTATTTTGAGTCTTTTGTGATTATATATAATTTTTAGGATTGTTTCTCTATTTCTGAAAAATCTGAAACAGGGATTTTTCAGGGATTACCTTGAATCTGAAGATTACTTTGGAAGATTTCAATAACTGCAAATCCATACCACACTAAGATATCATCACATACCTGTTGAGATGATCATTATAAAAAAAAAAAACAAAAAAGTAAGTGTTAGCAAGATGATGGAGGAATTGTAGCCCTTGAACACTGTTGATGGGAGTGTTAAACAGTGCTTCCAAAGTGGAAAATAGTATGGATGTTTCTCAAAATGTTGAAAATAGAACTACCATATAATCCAGCATTTCCATGTCTGAGTATTTATTCAAAGTAATTGAAATCATGATTTCAAAGAGATATATGTAATCCCATGTTCATTGTAGCATTATTCACAATAAACTAGTTGTGGAAACAATGTAAATGTCTACTGATAGATTGATGGAAAAAGAAAATGTGGTGTATACAGATGAAAGCTTATTCAGTTTTAAAAAGAGAGGAGACTCTGGCATATGTGTCAATATGGTCAAAACTGGAAAACTTTATCTGAAGTGGAATAAACACAGAATAACAAATGCTACATGATTCCACTTATTTGAGGTATCTATAGTGCTCTAAATGCTTAGAAAATAGAAGGGTGGCTGCCAAGGTCTTGGGAGAGGGGTACTGGGAGTTTATATTCAATAGGTACAAAATCATAGTTATGCAAGGTAAAGAGTTCCAAAGATCTGCTGTACAACATTATGTGTATGCTTAATAATACTATAGTTTACATATAAAATTTTGTTGAGAAGGTAGTTCTTATGTTAAATTTCTTCTAATAATTGAAAAACACAAAAAATGATGTTTTAGAAAAGATATATGATTTAACACTAGATAAGAACTCTTAAGATATGAAACATAAACTTATAGCTCTGACACTGGGTTAGAAATTAATATCTCTGAGGCCCAGTTTTCTCATACTGGCAATATAAGCTATTTTATATTATAATCGATCAGCAAAAAGGGTAAACTATAATAATGTAAAATGACAATATATTTATTTCAGAATGTAGTAAATGGATTTACTTAACATAAATCCAAATTCACTATATTTATATTCTGTTCAAATTACAAAGTGCTGTGTTAGAAGTGAAAACTAGAAAAAATTTCTACCTTATTGAATGGATTAATGTCCAAAGTAATGAGCAAAGTACAAAAATACCATAAACATGTGGAGGACACATAAAATGTTTAAAATTCTGTAGGACTTCATAAATGAAGAGATTTTATAATTTCAGAATTCTATTCTATATCTTACTCAGATGAAGTGGTAATGAACATATATCTCTATCTACATTGTATCTGCCTATATATCTACATATCATGTAGACCAGTAACATGTATATATATATAACATGTGTATATATATAATACAGTACTCTGCCCTTATCCACAGTTTTGATCTCTGAGCTTTTATTTTCCCCTGGTCAACTATAGTGTGAAAATATTAAGTGGACAATTCCAGGAAAAACATTCATAAGTTCTAGATTGTGTGCTGTTCTGAGCTGCATGATGAAATTTCTGTCCCTCCCAGATGTAAATCATCCCTTTTTCCTGCTTATCCACACTGTGTACTCTACCCGTCCATTCCTCACTTGGTAGCCATCCTAGTTAACAGATCCACTGCTGTGGCATCACAGTGCTTATGTTCAAGTAACCCTTAGTGTATTAAGTTATTAAATATGAAATGTCCAATTTCTTTAATTACTAGGTTTGACAGTTGATATCACAGACATTCACTTTGACACTTCTTGTTTTATTTTTATTGTGAAGCTACATCTTCATTCTTTCAAACACATGTTTTGGCTTGTGATTATCTTTCAAATTTTATTTAGAGCAATTTTTGTGAAACCATGGGCAAGTCAAAAATTCATGTTGTTTTCGAATATCAGTTCTGTCATGGAACTAATGCACCACAGACAGCTCAAAATATTAACGGAGTGTTTGGGAATGTTGTGGCTAATGAACACACAATACATCAATGGTTTGAAAAGTTCCATTCTGGTGATTTTAATCTGGAAAATGTGCCACACAGGCACACTGAGACCGAGGTGGATAATGATGAGCTGTAGTGAAAGTGAATCCATTTCACCCTACATATGAATTAGTAGCAAGGTTTGACCTTACTATTATAATAATACTGGACCATTTGAAACAAATCAGTAAGGTAAAGGAGCTGGATA